GGGGGGGGGTGTCTGTGCAGACCTTTCTCACATCTCCAGAGTTGAAACTAAGTTGGCTTAAGGAAAATCTTTTTGAAAATCATCTTATGCTTTGATGAATCACCTTTTCTGTAAAATGGGTCTTGCGGAGTGGTTGGAGCGCTCATAGAATAATACGCTAAATATAAACAGGAGTAGATGAGAATTTAGGATCTCGTTGTTCCTATTCATATGAAATTATGGTTGTGAGTTGTGGACTCTTGAAAACCATAGATTGATTTTATTTTCTTGGATCCTTTCAGAAAGTTTTGGATTCCACATAAGACAGACTCTCTTAATAACCACCCCATTTCATTCCCCAGAAGTTGTCCTGGAAGCAAATCAACAACAACAACAAAAAATAGTGTGACTAAAGCCTGTCAGCAACCACGAAAGTACTTCTTACATTGATTCTTTTTTATATGTAACCTGTTGATATTGCTGAGTTCATTTAATTGATGCATACAGGTGAACTTTACAAGTGACTGTCTATGGCCGTAAAATTAGTAGTAGAGTTTTGATAGGTTTCTATCCTAGTAAGTCTCTCTCTCTCAGTATAGAAGAATTACTGCAAATATTGATTTGTTAATGCTGATTGATGTTTACAAATAGAGTAGGGAGACCCTTCTGTAGAAGAGCTTCAGTAGCTTAAGAGAAAGTTCATGGTTTCCATTATTCAGTATAGGTATTGGGTCCTCATTTGAAGTTTCACTTTAAGAAGAAATCCATATATAGTTGGAAGTCATCATAAATAATTATTTGTGTGCTTCTTTAGAAAAAAAGTTTATTTTTTACTGATACTGGCCTTTATTGCCCTAGGTTGAATATGCAGTTTTTCTTTTCTTGTGTTCTATTACTAACCATTTATTATACACTTGCTAGGAGAGAAAAAATATATAAAACAGGGTCCCCACCCTCTAAATATTTACCTGCTTAATCTACTTAAGGGTTAGGGTTATATTAAAAATAGCGATGTCACACCATTAAGAAATTTTATCTTCTCACTTTATCATGTGAGACAGCAGCCTTGTGAAGATAGGCAGGAAATGTATAGTCTCTTTCTACTTACAGTACAGTTGCATACTGATTACAATAAATGTCAAGTGGTTTGGGCACTCGATGATAATGGAATTCAGAGGAAGAAGAGATCATTTTTATGCGGGATAGTTAGTGGCTAGATTATGTTGGTAATACCAGGAATAGGAGTGCTTCCTACTTGTGGATGTTTGAGTCTGATGGAGCCTCCTTAATTTGTAAAGCTAACTGAATATATTTAGTTTCTCCAGTCCTTCAAATATGCTCATTGTTTTTTTTTTTTTTTCTCGTACCAGCAGAATCCAAGGATCCCTTTCATACTCTCTCCATATTGCCTGATGGGAGGCATTATGGCCCCCAAAGACATAATGACAAATACTCATGCTAAATCCATCCTCAATTCCATGAACTCCCTCAGGAAGAGCAATACCCTCTGTGATGTGACACTGAGAGTGGAACAGAAAGACTTCCCTGCCCATCGGATTGTGTTGGCTGCCTGCAGCGATTACTTCTGTGCCATGTTCACCAGTGAGGTAAGTGGTGAGTCATCTCCTCACAAGTGGAACCTCACACATGTCACTTCACAGTTGTCTCATTTCACTGAATAAAATAGTAGAAGTTTGATGTAATAGTGAATTTCTATAGTATGGTGTTAAATGGGCCAACCCTGGATAAGATCTGCCACTTAGTTTTCTCATCTCTGAATGAGGGATGATAGTAATACACAACAGCATACGGTTACTGTTACAGTTACTTGAGAAAATTACATATGACGTGCTTAGAACAATGTCTAGCATGTAGTAAAACAAATACCAGCTATTGGATTTTACTTACTGTTTTTTTAATTTAAATTTATTTATTTATTTATTTTTGGCTGTGTTGGGTCTTCGTTTCTGTGCGAGGGCTCTCTCCAGTTGTGGCAAGCAGGGGCCACTCGTCATTGCGGTGCACGGGCCTCTCACTATCACGGCCTCTCTTGTTGTGGAGCCCAGGCTCCAGACGCTCAGGCTCAGTAGTTGTGGCTCACGGGCCTAGTTGCTCCGCGGCATGTGGGATCCTCCCAGACCAGGGCTCGAACCCACGACCCCTGCATCGGTAGGCAGATTCTCAACCACGGCGCCACCAGGGAAGCACTACTTACTGTTTTTTAAATTTGTTTTCCTTCTTCTAAAGTTTAATATTTTAAAGTGAATACTGGGGAAGAGGGAGGGGGGAAGGAAAGAGGAGTGAGCCTCAGTCCTCATCCCATTCCTTCTAACAATATGTGGGGAAAATCAGTCTTCATTCTAGCAGTGAAGGCTTTAGAGTAATTGCAAATGAGAGGGAGAGGGCTTAGTGCCTGGCTCTGTGGGTGTGTGAAGCATCACTAGAAAAAGATGCTGGCCCTGGAGCGCGAGCCTTTAACAAGGGAATTAGAAACAGGTTGGCTTGGCAAGAAAAGAGGTCGTGCTCTCAAAGTGTTAGGGAAAAGACTGCCTTAGTAATTGCCTGGCCACACAGCTGAGATGTGAAGGAGGCTGCTGGGTGAATCGTGAGGGACTCAGCTGAGCAGAGGGGACCACTGCAGACCTCAGCTCCCAATATCTCAAGTCTGATTTTGTAATTTAAAATAAGTTGTCTTCATTTCTTTTTAAGCTTGAATGGTGAGTACACCACTGTTGATTATATCGTTTATCTCTGCTTATATGTATGGCTGACATATTTCATTACAGTAACACTTTTTAAAAAATCCTCTCAACCACCGGGGTTTTATCAGTGCGGGTGTTGCTGCTGACCTGAGTGGGAGAGATCGTGTCATGAGAATGTCAGTAACTGCCTTTTACGGGCAGGTGCTGTGTTAGGTGATTGTCGCCTCCCACTCACCCCAGGGGTGGTTGTTACCGTCTCATTTTGCAAATGAAGAAATAAGGTCTCAGGTGCTAAATGCCTTATAGCTTGTAAATGGTAGAGGGGATTTAATCCTAAATTAACTTAGCTTGATTCTAATTTTGATGTTCTCATTGTAAAGCCAGAGTCGTGTGTGCTGCTGAGTCGTGTGTGCTCAGTCACATGGCTGGTAGGGAGAACGCGGAAGCCTGACACATCGCCCCAGAAGATCCAGGCTAATTTTTTTTTTTAATATTTATTTATTTATTTTTGGCTGACTTGGTTCTTTGTTGCTGCACACGGGCTTTCTCTAGTTGCAGCGAGCAGGGGGCTACTCTTTGTTGCGGTATGCGGGCTTCTCATTGCAGTGACTTCTCTTGTCACGGAGCACGGGCTCTAGGTGCGTGAGCTTCAGTAGTTACAGCACTTGGGCTCAATAGTTGTGGCTTGCGGGCTCTAGAGCGCAGACTCAGTAGTTGTGGCTCGTGGGCTCTAGAGTGCAGGCTCAGTAGCTGTGGCGCACGGGCTTAGTTGCTCCGCAGCATGTGGGATCTTCCCAGACCAGGACTCGAACCCGTGTCCCCTGCATTGGCAGGGGGATTCTTAACCACTGCACCACCAGGGAAGCCCCAGGTTAATTTTAAAGTGACCCAGTGCAGGGCGACATTACAGACCCTGTCCTGTACAGTACCCCAAGGAGCACCAGAAGTGGTGGTATTTATTTAACTGGGCGAATGTCATGGCTGCCAGCAGGAAGCACTGAGGACCCGGACTGCTGGCTGCTCACTACACGTTGTGCATCCTGTCTTCACTCTTTCTCTGCACGTTCAGGAATTAGTGTGGAGTTCTGTAAAAGAACTCTCTTTTATTTTTTTTCTCACCAGTAATTATTTTATAGTCTTTCTTTAAAAACTGACATCAGGCAAGAAAGTGTCAAATGGTCTTATCTTTTTCAACTGAAGTATAATTTC